AGCTCAGGAACAATTCTATTCTATATGACAGGTGTAATCAAAAGGCACTCTTATTATTTTATTATTTTCTTTATGTTGATCATATTCTATCAGATGCATACATACATATCATCACAGTAGTCCCTTTTGGGTAAGCAATTCTGTGCAAAAAAGTGCCAATCAAAACATGAGAAAATAAAGGAAAAAAATCATCAAGCTGTCTATTACCAATTTAATGCAAGGCTCAAACTACATAATAAGAGAATCAGTAGACAATCCTTCACCCCTCATTACCTCCAGAACAAAACATGGAAAAATCAATATACAATATTTAAAAAAAAACAGGAAAAGAGAAAATGCCATTTAAATAAGGGCCAAAGTGTATAGAGGTAGATGCAGCAAAATACCTTTTATTAACATGCACATTGCAGTTACAGGAATCATTGGATCCCTGTTCAAACGCATGTGAAAGAAGGCTAAATATTATAAGTTAAACATCCTCATAAGTGTTATAGAGGGATGATAAAGAAAGCAGGGTAAACAAGATGTATATATTTCTGATACATTTACACGACTAATCTTTTATTCAACTCTTTTTATTCTCTTTTTTAGTATGTAGTATTTACAGTTGTAAAAATAATCTTTAATAAAAAATTACTATAAAAAGAAATTTCTATCTGTGCCATTCTTCAGTTTGGTAATGTTCATCAGGTGGGTTCTGTCTAAATGCAGGTTATCACAGCACTCCATTAGCGGATTCATCTTGATTCCTCTCATCCAGGTTTGGAAAACAAGTATCTCTTCTCACTTTCTTTTCCATGGATAAGTCTTTGAGGACATATGCTTTGAATGAAACTTTTTAATAAGAATTCTCCACATGCTCAGCATATCCACTGGTGGACCAGTTTTACATCTTTTTTAAATGCAATTGGGCTAAAAAGAGTTTTAAAAAATAGAAGAAAATCCAGTTTTTCTATAGCTCAATTACTGACGGAAGAAAGAGAAAAAATTCAGAACTATTATTTGCCTTGTTGGTATTCATATATGTATGTATTACATTATAGGCTCTGCAATTCCCTGATAAAGTAACTCTGGGAACACTAGTTTCACCTGGAGAGGAACTACAAAACCAGTGCTTCATGCCATCTAGAACAGAACCCACATATCTGGCTCCAATTCACAAAACATGCTGGGTTCAGGACTTATGTGGGTTTGTTTCTACCATTAGATGCAAACTTTCTAAAAATGGCCATGGAGTGAATACAGGGGAGGGTTTGTGCTGGCAACTCCATACATTATAGTATCCAAAAGGAATGTAGATGTTGCCTGAATGGGAAAGTGCAGGGCAAAGAAAAAAAAAAGGCAAATTGTCCTACCAGGAAAAGGGGACGCTGAGAGTAACGTATTTAGCTCAAGACTTCTTGGTGTGATTGCCGAAGCATTAGCTTGGTGTGTGTCTTGAAGGCCTTCCCCCAAATTTTTAACTTCGATTATTCTATTCTTGTTTTAACTTCCCCCTTTTACTGAAATATTGTATTTTATGTTTTTAAATGTACACTGTTCAGATAATTTATGTATCTATAAGCAAGAGCTTTGGTGGCGCAGTGATTAGAATGTAGTCTTGCTGGCAAACTCCACCCACAGCCTGGAGTTTGATGGGGCTCACGGTTGATTCAGCTATTCATCCTTCCAAGGTCGGTAAAAGGAAGACCCAAATTGTTGGGGGTAATATCCAAATAATGCTGACATTGTAAACCGCCCAGAGTGTGGTGGACAATATGTAAGCCTAAATGCTATTGCTGTTTGTATTTGTGTGTGCATGCACACACACACACATTTATATATATATAAAGTGTTTTGTAGGTCATGAGGAATAATCAAAGGATTTAAAAGCAGAGGTATTAGGAAATAAATATTAAATTCTGTAAGATTTTCTCCCACATATCTGGGATTGTAGTATCATTTGCAACTCTATGCACATTTACTGCATAAACTAGTAAATCTCAGTGGATTTACAAACATGTACATGCATAACATTGTGAACAGCAGTCTGAAAGTGCTTTAGCTCAGCTGTTATGCTCAGAATTAATCGTTCGTACATTGAAAAGGGAGCTATCCTTATCTTCCTCCTGCACTTTCTTTTCTGGTTGAGTGCTTCTTTGAGGTGGCCATTTCTGACCACCGCTCCTACTGCCTTCGGGAAAGGGAGTTTGACCAGCTGAGGAGAGATGCGGTTCTCCTCGACCCTGCTGGCGATCTCCCCCCTCTTCACCACCTCTACGGAGTGGCTTAGCCAGAAGCCAGCTGGCTCGGGGCGCTCCAGCGGCGAGCCCAAGCAGAAACCACACATGATTGCAGATTCCTGCCTGCTGCCGAAGCCCTGCAAACTGGAAGTTTGATGCATACACCGGTGGAAGAGCATAATACAGTGAAACAAAGTGAAATGAATGCTAAGAAAATTGCCTGTCAGCATTTTCATTTTCCCAAAGCAGCAGAAAATACTCATACAAAGCAGTTTGAAGATTTAATGAGATAAGAAAAATAGACTTCATGAACCATTTTTTGGATTGGCCATTTCTAAAAATATTGCAGAAATAATGCCTGATGTGTTTTCAGGGGAGGGGTCATAACTATGAGGAAGCCTCATTCGGCTTGTACAATTTATGCAAAACTTGGTTGTGCAACCCAGGCATAACACAGCTCCATCTTTTCCACCTTCACAAATACAAGTAGTCCTCGACTTACGACCACAATTTATGCTGTGAGAAATTTGTTGAGTTTAGCCCCATTTTATGACTTTTCTTGCCACATTTATTAAGTGAATCACTGCCCTTGTTAAATTAGTAACACAGCGAATCTGGCTTCCCCATTGACTTTGCTTATCAAAAGGTTGCAAAAGGGGATGGCAAGACCCCAGAACACTGCAACTGTTATAAATACGATTCAGTTGTCAAACATCCAAATGTACATCACATGACCATAAAGCTGCTGCAACGGTCTAAGTGTGAAAAATGGTGGTAAGTCACTTTTTTCAGTACCGTTGCAACTTTGTAGGTCACTGAGAGAACTACTGTAAAGTTGAGAACTACCTGTAATGTAAAAAGATTCCATTATAACTATAATCGTAGGCATTTTGATCATCCAACTTTCCTTCTCAAGGCAAAGATTTCCACTAATATTCTTCCACGTAGCCATTTTTAACTTTGCAGAATTAGGGTAGATAGGTATTTTAAGTGCATTACATTTTAAATAAATAATACTTATTTGCCTTACTCTGCCTCTTATAGCAACAGCAATAGCGCTTATACTTGTACACCACTCCACAGTGCTTTATAGCATTCTCTGAGCGGTTTACAAATGTCAGCTTATTGCCCCCAACAATCTGGGTCTTCATTTTACCAACCTCAGAAGGATGGAAGGGTGAGTCAACCTTGAGCCCATCAGGATTGAACTCCAAGCTGTGGGAGTTCTAACCACTGTGCCACCATGGCTCCTGCGCTATCATGACTGATTTCCAAGGATTCTATAAATGTGAGTATGAAATGGCACCCCAGTTAGTAATACTGAATCAGTTGCAAAGGCTACAATCTTGAAACTGTTAACTGAAATGAATTAAGCTGTTTATTGATCCACAGATGCCCAATACAAAAAGAAATGTGTATTCCAATGAACACAATTACTAACATGAAGAGGGTGAAATAACTAAATGAATGAATAATAGTAGTAAAATGCAAAGCAATTATTAAAGTAACTTGAATAAGGATAAGAAACTTTTAAATAAAACCTAATATTGCACACTTCATGAAAAAATATTTGTGGCTCATCTAAGTATTTCAGTAGAAAAGAATAAATGTAGCTCACAGTTGATAAAACAATCTGAGCTTCATTGTTTGCTTGCACATTTGTATCTTAAGTAAACCAAACTTTTTAAGTAAATCAAAAGATTCAGTAGTTCAAGAAAAAAAAAGGAATAATCTGCAACATACCACCTAAGGATTGTTAACAGTCACTATATAAAACAGTTAGTAGACCAATAAATTGTATTAATGAACATTAACTACAATCAGAAGACAGGACGTAAATTCCTTTATCTCATAACACATTAACATTTATAATATAATACATGTTATTTTTAAGCTGCCATAAAATGCTTTGTTGCTTTCCCCCCTTCAGCTATCTAAAACTTTAAAAAAATTGACAATTTATTAAATCTATGAACCATCTTCTGCTTATTTAGAAGCCAGAAGGATATGCAATAAAAACCTTTCATAGAACAAAGGAATATAGAAGCAAAATTCACACAATAAAATTTCTTTGAAAAAGGTAATACACAACATCTATCACTTTGTGAGTCTCAGGAAGCTACAACTTGGATAACATAACATGCTAAATGCCAGTGGGAAAGTTAAAATGTCGGTTGGGACATATTGTATAATCTAAGCCACTATTTCTCAACTTTAGCAACCTTAAGGTAACTTCATCAGAATTCCTCAGCCAGCCATGAAGTTCACCTACTTAAAATTGCTGGCCTAAATCTTGGATTTTCCCCAAATACCTTTAAATAAGGAGGATTTTATCCTTTGTTTAATGCTAACACCCTTTCAATGACAGAGACCTCAGACTGCATCCTATCAAATAACCACCTTTATTCTGGCTTCTGCCTGGCTTCAGGAATTGAGACCAGAATAGAATAACGCGTGGTTGGAAAAAACTTTGGAGGTCTTCTAGTCCAACCCCCTGCTTGTTTAAGCGACATTTATACGAGAGCACGCTTCCTGGAATTAATTGGGTCTGTCTTTTTCTTTCTCTTTCTCCTTCTTCCTCTTCTTTTTCAATTAATCTATTTTAAATTTGCAAGGTACGGGTGGAATAACTCTAGGGATTTTTTTTTAATGCCGAATAAAATGACCCACGAAATATTCCGGAGCAAAATTTCCTCCCGTTGCAACTTCCTCGCCGTCGCGTGGGAGCCACGCTCCCGCTTTTTCCAGGTGGGAGGAGCGCGGGAAGAGGACGGGCCCGGGTGAAGGAGGCGAAGGGAACGGCCTTCTGTCGCCAAGCGCAGCGCAGTCGGGGCCTCTTAGCTGCCATGGCGACTGGTTTGTGACTGCTTTGGCCTTCTGTAGACCGGCCCTCACTGAAGCCTCTTGATCTCCGGCTACGCTAGTTGGTAGTGTTCGTGATTGGATCCGTCCCTCGCCGCTGAAAGGATCGTCGCTATGGCCTCACGCAGCGCTGGGACCCTCCTCACTCAAAACAACGCGGTCTATGTGCCGCCGGGGCTCATGCCTGGGTGGGTGGCCCGCAAATGCCTCTAGTTGAGGTGGGGACGGCGGGGAATTTGAGACGTCGGTCAGCGACGGGTTTTAAGCCTGGTGGAGGCTGAGACGCTGGGAACATAACGAGGAAGAAGGATTTGTGACCTAACCGTCTCGTCAGCAAAAGACGGTGACGTTCTGTATCCCTTTTCAGAAGACCTACATTTTTAGATGAAATTTTATTTGTAAAAAGCTGCTTCTTGTCCGGAAAAAAAGATGATGCAATGTGTTAGAAAGCATTTAAACTGAAAGGGGAAAAACTGTAATAGAACTGTTGGTATACAGTAAAAAAAAGAGCAAAATATCAACAATTCCCTAGGATGAAGCTTCATTTCTGATTCCTCCCCATAGTGCATATTATTATGATAATGCCCAGTTGGATAATTATATTCCCATTCTTTATTTATCTACACCTTTCTATGATATATTACAAATGAATTTCCCAGTCCTTAACCCATTATTTTCAAATAGGTTTTTTTGTGACACAAAGTGTTCCTATATTATTGGTGAGCAACTCATTCTATAAGGAGAGCTTGTGATGATTACCATCCAGGAAAATAGAAACTCAAAATAGCATTGATTTATCTTTAAAGTGCAAATTGTATACTGTATGATGCTTAGAAGTCTTTTATTTGAAAGAAGGAACATGACAAGTTTCAGTTAATCAAGAATACTGTAGAAGAGATTATGGTTATTCCCCTTATAGCTCTTCCACCATCACTCAGCTACTGTTTAAGTGATATAAATGCTGTCCTCATTATTGTTATATTAATATAGTGATGATTAGATGGTTCAAGAAGATGCAATAAATCACCAGTGGAGAACTTGCTTATATATAGCTTATAAAAAGAACACTATAAATATGAGTGTTATATCTATAATTAATTTCCTCTTTGAAAAATTGCTCAGAAAAAATCACACAATTAACTTATTAAATGCACTGTTGAGATGGAGGTCACTTACTAGAAAGCATCTATATGAGAAACATGCAAACTGGTAGTTAATCATATGTTGCATAGCAACAGTCATTTAGGAATAATGTTAAATTAGGTTGTTTTCCCTTGTTCGCAGGCTTACTGAGAGTTGTAAATTGGGCAGAATAGCATCCTTACATCTTTTTAATATGGAACATGAAGTGCTTATTGAAAAACTTGAGAGCGTTGGGAAGAAGAAAGTTAGAAAGACTGGAATTTTAAAATAAGTTTTGCATAATAATTTCTGATTAGGAATATTTTACTTAAACAATTAGAACTTAGTTTTTCAGTGATGGTTCAAGTAAAATATATAGGTCCCCAGGAAAAGGTCTCCATAGAGGAATACCTACATGAGGCACAGAAATAATATGTGACACTAGTCTAAGCTAGCCAAGAAACCATCAGCTGTTTTAATTCATTCTCTGCAAAACTAGGTATAATAATAGTTGTTTGTTTTTGTGAAGATTATAATGTTTGCAAAATGCTGCAGATATTGAGTGTTATCAAGGTGAATAAATTAATGAGTTTAATTTGATTTCTTCTATTTCTCTAGGTACCGTGGCCATGTCCCTAATGTAGCCTTTTCCTTTGGTGACACCTATGGAAATACCACCATGAAATATTTTCAAGACTTCCGAAATGCTGCAATGGAAACCAGCTATAGTCCCTACAGCAAAGGGGGGCAGTTCCCAACTCTTTTCTCCCGTGACCCATCTCTCGTGATTGGGGAAAGGGCAAGAGGCTGGGATCGATGGCTACATACCCCTAATTACTCTCGTTTCAGTTTGGATATGAACCGCTCAGAAGAACTGCAAGAGTTCTACAAGGTAAAGCTGCTTTTCAAGACATACCCTCTTCCTCCTGGTCAATTACACATAATGTGAAATTCTGAATTTAAAATGTCATGTAGATAATATGCATTAAACTAATTAGGGATTTTTTATTGTTGTCTAAGAGTAAACACTTGGTTTAAGAGGGAAGAAAGATTTTTTGTTAAAACAATGGGATGTGTAATTCATGTATATGATGACATTTATGCATTTTATGTGTGCATAAAATGATAAATGGGACCTTACACACTTGCATGCATAGAAACACTGTTCAGATAATTTGTTAGTTATACCCCAAATCTGCAAAACCAAAGTCAGTTAAATGAAGGATTTATTATATCAGCTTAGGCAATCAACAGAACCAGGTTCTAACATTATTCTGGCTAGTATAATTTCTTTTTATTTGACGTAGGCCCCCTATATATGTGCCCAGGCTAGTATAATATGCATATATTAATGTTTTTCATTTTTTAAAACAACCCCCCTACACACAATCTGGTGATACTTATATTAATCCTAGATGTAACTTGAATGCTCTCTATGTTTTAATAGTCTTTTACATTTCATTCTATGCCTGTTCAATTTCGGCATTTTAAGATTGATGGAAAAGGATCATGATACAAATAGTCCTTAGGTTTTGCCTCTAGGACTGTTGGAATAAAGAAAGATTGGTTCCTTTATATTTTGAAAGTAGAAAATTCAATTGTATATAATTAAAAATGGAATTGACTACTGTTTACTTTGTCTGTTTCCCCCCTCCCTGCTCCCCACAACAAGCAGATCTTTTTAAGAGGAGAGGCTTCAGTGAAAGAACATCGACAGATGATATATTCTATAGTTGGAAACATGCAGGCAGGGATAAATTGTACCACATGTTCATGTGGATTGTGTTAATTAGTCCTGGGACAATTAGGTAAAGGAAAAACAAGGTTTAATAAGTGCAGAAGACAGGGTTAGTCTGGGATAATAAAAAATATAGAAAAAGACAACATAACTATTCAGATGGGTAGACAAGAGTGATCGTTTATTGCCTGATTTCTTACAGCAGGCTGTTGCATTAGTTCAGAAGTTACCACATGTTCTCCCTTCAGGGAAGCCTTCTGCACTTTCTAGGCTGCTAGGAACTGTTGCAGTCTGCCATGAGAACTCCTGTGCTGTTTAAGCTATTTTTTATGGAGCAAGAACCTCTCTTTTTTTGCATTTTTTTTCTCCTTCATCAATCACAAGAAAGCTTGCATTTCTTGAGAAAACTCAACAGAATCTTAGTCAACTTGCCAGCAATCAGTATTCTTAACTGTCTTCATCTGGGTCATCCCACTAGCTGAATCAATTCTTTGCCTGACATTCTCTTCTTCAGTTTGCTATTGAGAAGCTCATAAGGGCATTTCCATTCTAACTTTATGATACTTTTATCATAAGACCATGCCCTGTGATTCTAGTCCTCAGTCTTTGTTATTTTTTTAATATACTTTATTAAGTTTCTGCAAAAAAATAAAATATTAAAAAAACCAAGGAAATTAAAAATATATTTAAAAAGGAAAAAATAATATACCGATCTTGAGCACAGTTGCAAGTATAAAGTTGTATGGGAAAAGTACAGGGTTTGCGCATAAATAACCTTGTCTGACCATAGGTGTTGATAACTGCCTTTTTGAATACAGAAAGGTGTGCTAAGTAGATTTATTATTTATAATCAAATTATATGGCCATCCATTTCACAATAAATGAACAGTATACACAGATCCTGCTACGTTGAATTTAGTTTAATTTTTATTTCTTCTTAAGCCTGGAAATAAGGGTGATTTCTTCTTACTCAGTAGCCAGTGAATCCACATCAGTTAAACAATCTATAAATAATAAAGAGTGGGATGTTAAAATTAATGGGCTGAAAAACACTATTTGTTCAGACTTTTTCTTTTATTTCTCAGTGATTTTATAAAGTAACAACATTAAAACTTTACACTATTTTAAAAGCCCTTTCTATTTACTCTCTCTCTCTCTCTCTCTCTCTCTCTCTCTCTCTCTCTCTCTCTCTCTCTCTCTCTCTCTCTCTCTCCCCCCCTCTCCCCCCCCCCCCCCCCCCCCCCCCCCCCCCAACCCCCCCCCCCCACACAACCCGGGGGGGGGGGGGGGGAGAGAAGAAAAAGAAAAGAAAAAGAAAAAAACCCCAGGTTGCTTCAAGTAAAAATGCAGGACTGTTGTGAATGTCATTGTCTGTCCTACTCAATAGTTTGAACCTGTCAGCTTTAGGAGTAAACTACAAATATTTTGGTCTGTATAACAAACAAGTGGATTAGATTATAGTGGCAATGGGTAATTTATAATGTAGCATATTATGGACAGTTTTCAGTTTATTTATTTGTTTATTTAATTTGTGTGCTGTCCATCTCATCTAGATGTTAGTATGTTGCATGAATGAGAGCCTTATGTTAAACCATAATCTGATTTGTTTGGCATTATGCTGACTGTTTCCTAGTATGTTTTGATTGCTTATTGTACCCTATGACTATTATTAAGTGTAGCATCTTACGATTCTTGACAAATTTATCTTCTTTTATGAACACTGTGAGCATTTGAAACAAGCCAAATACCTTGTGTGTCCAATCACACTTGGACAATAAAGAATTCTATTCTATTCTATTCTATTCTATTCTATTCTATTCTATTCTATTCTATTCTATTCTATTCTATTCTATTCTATTCCATTCCATTCCATTCCATGAACATGGCAACTGTTTTTTGTTAACCCAGATTTAGAATTCAGTATGCTGTTCAGACCCATTATTGCATGAAAATGGCAACAATGATCATTGGATTTTATTAATAAAGAAAAACATCTGGGATTTTGAGTGGAAAAATAACAATGGGGAGAGGAAGCCCTTTCCCTGTAAGACTTTCCCCTTTTCTTACAAACATGGCTTCCAAGCTTGCTGTTTTCCCTTGTGGGAACATTCACAGGAATGGCAAGTGAGAGGGGGAAAATGGTGAAGTAGCATTGCATCAACCTGATGAAAACTCCATCCTTTTTCTGTATATGTCCTGTGATGTTACACACATAGTTACTGGCATATTGCTGCTTTCATCATTTTGGCAAAGTGGTGGATCCTGTGAATGCTTTTGTTTATCCGTATGAAAATATACATTTGTAGAAAGCAGACATGACCAAAAAAGTCATTCATTTTCAGTTATTTTTTAAGGTTCATAGAATTTTACAGATAATTTTGCTCTTTTCTACATTTCTGGACATACCATTTTCATATACAGACCACATTCCAAGATAATGCTAAGCCAGGATTTTTTAATGATTTCTTGAACTTCTGATTCACACATATTGCAAAACCATACAGAGGTATAGAGAGATAATTTGTACATTAAATTAACATAAAATTAAAAAGTATGCATAAAGACATACATAGGAAATTGGCATAATGTTATAAGGAAAAAATGTGCTACTAGAAAAGGAGCACATTGGGAAAAATTGCATAAAGGAGAACAGTTTGTACATAGATGGGCAACTCTGGAAAATGCGGATAGATTTTTGTGTGGATTTGGAGCGGGGATGACATACATGAATGCAGACCTTGTGCAAATAGAAACCAATGCAAATACACCTGGAAAAAACGAGAAACTGAACTGAGTACAATTAGCAGATTTACCTGTCCTTGTTAAGTTTCAGCCTTACAACAATCATGTAAAGAGTATAATTCAGTTCCTTGCTAAGGTGATAGGCACCATGATTGAACAGAGTTTTGAATGCTCAATTCCCTAGTGTGGATTCAGCACACTTAACAGTTACATAACAGGAAATGTTTGATTTGGAAATCAAACACATGAAGCAAGTATTCTCAAAAGAACTCAGGTCTAGATACTGATGCTCCTAACCCAATTTATTTTTAATTTGCAGCTTACTCAGATGCATCGTGAACATTACAGAGATAAGACAGGGAAATTGCATCTGGTACCATACTTTGTGCTGCCTATGAAGGAAAAAGACAAGTACCCTCATCCTCTTGATCTGTGAGTCTAGTGGGCAAAAACAGTAGTGTAGCGGGGAAATCAGGTATTATATTGAGTCAATTTTATGGAAATGTTATAGAAGCTCATCAATTTCCTTATTATAGAAGATTTATGAAGAGATTGGACAACCACGACATGGTATAGGGTCTCCTGTTTGAGCAAGGGGTTGGACTAGAAGACCTCCAAGGTCCCTTCCAACGCTGTTATTCTGTTACAGGCTCGCAGTACTCAACTTATGACCACAGTTGGGACCAACATTTCTTTTGCTAAGCAAGGTGATTGTTAAGTGAGTTATGCCATCAAAAATGCATGCCCAATGCCAAGGACCCAGATTATGATCACATGGCTGTGGGAATGCTGCAATAGTTGTAAGTATGAGGACTGATTGTAAATCACATTTTTCAGTGCCATTGTAACTTCAAGTGAATAGGTCTATGTCAAAGACTACCTGTAACAAATCTGAATCTAAAATAATCTGAGGTGACATGGATCAAGTCAGTAAATCCCTTCTAAGGTCATCTAAAATCCATCTAAAGTTCTGAGATTCATTAACAAAAGCAACAATTTCTTTGCACTTAGGCAGTGAGTTTATGCACAAGGTAGACAGCGCTTTACATTTTTCCTGCTATTTCTGTTCTGCCATCCATCATGGAAAGAAACACATCAAGGAGTCAGCAGAGTATCTAAAGACATTATTATCATTCCAACAAAGTCATTTTGGGTGTTCTTTAGTCTTTGTTCAAATGAAATGTACATTTCTTTTTTGTTTATTATCCCATTCTTTTTAATTCTTTAAAAAGATAGTCTCAAATGTGTTAATTCAACTCTGGAAGTTTCTTTTGTTTCAGGAAAATATTTTCTTATCTCCTGTCCTGCTCTTCAGACTGTTAATTAAAGTCAAAAAATATTGTACAGCTTAATTATAGTCTAAATCTCCCCGAGGGAGAAAAAGCTGTGATTGGCAATGATGGTCAAAGTTATTATGACAGGAAACACTGCAGTTCTGTGCTCTCTTACATAGAATTGTACAGTGAGATTCTCCTAGAAAACAGATCTAGCTGAAATGTTAATATACTGTATATTGCTAGTCCATGTGTAATACGCCATATGTAAAATAATAACAACAAAGTACAATAGAGCTATCTTTAGCATAAAAAGGCACCTTATAGTAGTTATTGGTTCATCTCATTTTCTATAGTTAGCTCTGATTGGCAATAAGTTCTCTAAAACCTCAAGGAGAGAAATATAGCTTTCAGGTTTGTTCTTTAAGTTCTGATTGAATCTGGGGTCTTCAGTATATAAAACACATATTGCACTATGATTTCTGCCCTTGGTATTATGCATGACTTGTTAATTTTCTGCTTTTTATCATTTTGGCTCACTGACCTGTATTCTGTATTCCTAATCACTGAAGTAACATAACATTCCCATTTTACCATAGTAGTAAACCAGAGAACAGATGTTAGAGGGGGAAGAAAATCCATCATTTTACCAGATTATTAAAGAGATATTAGTAGAAATCTACCCATCTGATTTTGAAAACATTGGCCTACTTTGCTAGTCAACTAGTCCAAGTCAACTCAATACACCATTTTATCCTTAGTGATTCCTACTATCATACATGGATCAGTCATATTGTGGGAGGGGATTGAAGAAAGAAATTATAACAATTTGAGGATGCAAAGCATTAACAGGGAAGAACAGAAGAATTCAGAAACTTGCCCACCTGCTATTTTTCCCTTGCAAATGTTACTCCCATGTAACAACTAAGTGGCTTATTTTCTCATAATCTGTTGATTTGCCCTTAAATCTCAAGGAAGAGTTGGAAGGAGAGGAGGGAATTGGGTCTCCTATTTAAATACAGAATATTATCTAATAAAAATAAAATCTAAAGCCCCATAAAGATAGTCCTCAACTTTCAACCGTTCGTTTAAATGACCATTCAAAGTTACAACCCACTGAAAAAAGTTACTCAACAACTGTCACAGTATTCCCATGTCACGTGAACAAAATTTGGGCGCATGGCAGTGAGGTATTTACAACTGTGGTATTTACAACTGTGGTAGCACTCAATTCAACTACTATCTTGCTTCGCAATGGAAGTTATGTAAGTTGAGGGCCACCTATATTTGCTTTGATCCCATACATATATTGGGAAGATATTTTCTTGAATGAATGCCCCACTAGTATTTGCAAAATGTTCTCCTCCCTCTTTAAAAACAAGTTTGTCTTAAAACTTGCAGTAACTATTATTGGAAAATGCAATTATATATTGAACCATGTACCTTTATGCATATGTATTGCTTGTAAATTCTGTATTTTAATTGGATTGTTTACATTTATTGTGAATGTACCTACTTGTTCTGTTTATCACTCTGCAATCTGTTTTGGGTGTTTGTTGGGGCTATAAGTACTAAGCTCAGCTGAGCTAAGATTTCTGGCCTATGACATGCAAAGCATATTAACGGTATGTTTTATGGCGTGAATCCCGGGTACCCGAGGAATTGCTTTACGTTGATGAGACTAACCAGCCCCACTCATTTCAGGGAAAGGGTCCTGTTGGCCAAATAATTTTGGCTGCTGTGACCCCTGCCTTCTGGAATATTCTCTCCTCAGAGGTAAGGTCTGCCTCTACACTTTTGGCCTTCTGGAGGAGCCTAAAAACTTGTCTCTGCTGCTTGGCCCCCCCCCCCCCCCCCCCCCATAG